TCCACCCCTCTATCTATCTATCTATCTATCTATCTATCTATCTATCTATCTATCTATCTATCTATCTATCCCCATCCATCCCCATCCACCCCCTCTATTTATCTATCTATCTATCACTGTCAGAACTAAAATAATCTCTCATTCAATTCTCTTTTACCACTTCCAATATTTAGTGAGCTCCAAGTCCGGCTTAACAAAGTTTTTTTGATCAGGGAATTTGCTAAGTTTTTCAAATAAAAGTTGATATTTACAGTGTGATAGCTACAGATACTTTCTGTAACAAATGTTTTCATCTGGAATATCTTTAGTTTCTCACCTTTAACAGATGTAAAACTAAGGATATCCCATTTTTTTGTTGGGAAGTTTTTTTTTTTTTTCATATGAAAGTTGCTGATACTTTCCCTGTCTTCACAAAGGTTTGGGTTTGGTTTTGCCTGGGCATCTCTTCAGTTTTTGTGTGAAATTCCTTGTCTTTATGTATCGATTTATAATGACTGATATTTTGTCAACGTTCACAATGTTTTTGGTTCGGAATTGCCTTAGTTTTTCATATAAAAGTTTATATTTATTGATTTAAAGTTACTGTTACTTCCTCGGCCTTAACAAAGTGTTTTGTTGGATGTCCTTAGTTTTTCTTATGAGCATCTGTAATTATTGATTTTAAATTACTGCTACTTTCCAACAAAGTGTTTTTCTCTGGGGATTTTCTTTGTTTTTCATGTGAAATTGTATAGTAACTGATATTTAGGAAACATTCATGGGGTTTTTGGTTTGGCCTCATCTTTTCAGACAAAAGATTGTATTTATGGATTAAAAACTACAGACACTTTCTGAATCTTAGCAAAGCTTTTGTTTGAATATTGTCTTAGATTTTTTTATGCGAATCTCTTGATAAATACTTTCTCTGTTTTACCAGAGATTTGTTTGTTAATTGCTGGAGTTTTTTCATACAAAAAAAATGTATTTATTGATTTTAAAGTACTGGCACTTTCCCCATCCTAACAAAGTTTTTGTTTGGGAATTTCCTTAGATTTGTTTTAACGAAAATCTCTTTATTGATTCGAAATTACCAATACTTTCTCAGTCTTACCAAAGATTTGTTTGGGAGTTGCTTGAGGTTTTTCATAAAAATTCGATATTTCCAGAGTTAAAAGTTCCCTGTGCTTTTGCTTAGCCTTAAGGAAGGTAATAAGGGAGGGCTTCCTCCTGGCTGGTGAATAATCTACTTTCTGTCCTTTCTTCGCCCCCCCCCCCCCCACTCCCCTGTATCCCTCCGTCCACAGAACCGCAGCTGAAGGGCATCGTGACCAAGCTCCTCTGCAGACACGGTTTCTACCTCCGGATGCACCCAGACGGGAGCATCGACGGGACAAAAGAAGACACCAACAGCTTCAGTGAGTGATGCCCGGGCAAGGCCGAGGGGTTATGCAGGGTTAGGCCAGTTGGGGGACCTCCCAAATGGCAGGGAACGGGATGGGGGGCCTGCGGGGGGCTCTGTACTGTGGGGGGCAGAGGAGGCTTCCTACATCCTGGCCCTCCCATGCCACCTTTCCCCCTAGGACCCAAGGCGGGGACTGGCTGGCCCAGGGGGGCAGAAATGGGGGAGGGGCCTGTCCCCTCTAGGGGGCGCCGGCTCCCACCCAGCCCCAGGGCAGGGACTGGCTGGCTCAGGGGGGCGGGGAATGGGGGAGGGGGTCTGTCCCCTCTAGGGGGCAGCACATTATGTGCATAGAGAAGATGGGTAAATTCTGCCTTGATCTAATCCCACCCATCCCCCTCCCGCTCCCAGCTGTCTCCGGTCAGGGCGAGTCCAGAATATTCATCTGGGATTGCAAAGAAGGGGATTAACGTCTAGGAAGCAGAGCTCACCCGCCCCCGAGAAGGGATGACGGGAAGGAAAAATAAATCCGGCTCTAAAGCGGAATGGGGGAGGGGTTCGGCATGGGGAAGAACCCAGGAGCCCAGGATCCAGGCAGAGCTTCTGCAAAATCGGGCAGTGGGGATCGGAGCCGGCGCCCCCTAGAGGGGACAGGCCCCTGCCCCATTCCCCATCCCCCTGAGCCAACCAGTCCCCACCCTGGAGCCGGGTGAGAGCCGACCACCCCCTAGGAGGGGACACGGCCCCT